TCATCCCCAAGCTATGCATGGCACTCACGTAAGGGCATATGAAAGTTTCTGCAGGGGAATTACTAACTCGGCAACCAGAAGAGCTAGAAGGCTGAAATTTCAGTCAGATATTCCCTGTCCACGTGCAATTTAAAAATGTCAGATCCAACTTTCCAAGCACGCGGAGTATCCAAGTACGGATATGTAAAGATTTTGGCGGGAAAATTGCTAACTCGGTAACCAGAAAAGCTGAAAGGCTGAAATTTTAAGGGGATACTCCCTGTCTACGTGCAATTTAGAAAATTCAAATTCAGCTTTCCAGATACACAGAGTATCCATGTACTATGTGAAGGCTTTGGCGGGAAAATTTTAATTCGAGAATCAGAAAAGCTAGAAAGTTGAAGTTTTAGAGGAAGTTCCCTGTCCAAGTACAACTTAATTATTTCAAATTCAATCTTGAGGTATACGTAGTTCTTACGTACGGGCACTTAAAAGTCTTAACGAAAAAATTTCTCACTGAACAACTAGGCTACTTTTAAAGAACGACTGTTAAATGGAAATTATACATTACTTGTCAAAATTTATGGTGATTTATGCTAGTGACCGCAAAAGGTAGATGTAAAGCAACAGCCATCCATACAGTTAATGACCTGAGTAATTTATTCTGAGTAATTTAAGTCCGGTGCAAAAACGCATGATCACACCCGCCCGCCGGTGCATTCCAGCCTGGGTTGCAATTGCCAAAAAAACACGGATTCATTGTAAATGAAAGATTGTTGCCTGCATCTCTAGCCGACGCTTGCTCGCGGCGCTCTCACTGTCTTATTTCCACAAGCAATATATACCTCTAGTTGAATTTTTCCCAGTATACTTGGTCCTCGAGTTAGCAATTTTCACGCCAAAACTTCCACATGCCAGCATACGGGCCAGACACGCTGAAAATTGGACCTGTGTTCCTGGAGTAGCGCTTAACCAGGGAATTCACTTGGCAAAATTTCAACGTCAAAGCTTATCTGGCTTTCGAGTTGAAATATCCAGACAGGCAAGCACGTACACACGCACACACACAGACATACACAAATCGTGGATCGTCACAATATGCGTTTCTGCGTTTCCGTATGTACAATAATTGGCCAGCGCATGGGCTGCCCGTGCGAAGATGCGTTTTTTATATAGTTCTCCGCAGTTTTTGTCGCTACCGGCATCGGTTTTTTCGGCAAATGTTTCTAGCTAAACAAATTAAGACTGGCCGCCAGAACTGTCAGAAAACACCCGTTTGAAATTTCAGCTTTCTAGCTTTCCTGGCTCCTGAATTAGCAACGTACTGGAAAAAGACTTTCACAGGCCTGTAAGTGGGTGCCACGCATACCCGATGTCTGGGTCTGAGCTCGTTGAGACTTACGTGGACGGGGAACATCCTCTTAAAATTACAGTCTTCTAGCGTTTCAGGTTTTTGAATTAGCAATTTATCCAAGAAAAGCACTGGCGAGCCCATGCGTGGGTACCACGCTTACCTGAGAGCTGGGTATG